AGCAGAGGCAGCACGTCCAGCCGATCACCATCCACGACTTGCGGCGGTAGCCCTTGATGGGCACGCAGTCCGAGATCATGCCGATGAAGGCCTTGAGCGACCAGCCAATGTTGACGAGTGTCTTGGCCGAGTTGTACTGAGCGCCGGTCATGTGGTAGTAGCCGGTGAAGACGGGGTAGAGAATGTTGGGCAGGCAGCCGTAGATGAGGCCGACGCAAACGTATTGGGCAAGCAGACCGAGCACTTCGCGGCTCCGATAGTCGGGCGCGCCACCGGCGCGGAGGGCACCGTCTTCGAGATCGACCGGGGTCTTGCCATCGTCGTAGTCGTCGCCCGCTGGCTTGTCCTGCGTCGCCGAGACGTACGAGACGCGTTCTTGGAGCTCCATGGCACCAGTGCGCTTGGCTTGCATCTTGGTCGTGGCAAGTTCAAAACTGAATGAAGTGCGAAGTGTGAAGAGGACTTGGGACACGCTGGACCCTTGACGTTTCTCGCCGTCCAATGGTCTGCTTGAATCAGAAACAAGACCAGGAGAAAAAGTTGACGGGCAAATTGTAGGGCAGTCAACGTACAAGGGTGCGCGCCTCGCATGGGTGCTACCACTGTACCACCCCTGGACGACCGTTGAAAACGAAAATGTTCTCTGCGCTTCCTCGTCGTCACGAGCTCGAATCTGGTGGCGGCGGGGTGCGCATTCCATTCACTTCCGTTCGCTTGACCGTATGAAAGGACGGGCGGCAACGTGCAGTGTCGTTTCGCTCTCTTAGCCGGTGGCGTGAGAAAACGACCACCTCGGGCTTGGGTGATTCGCAATCAGATATGACGCGTTTCTTATCCAAAGTGCAACTCTACACCGTTGCAACGCGCCTTGAAAGACTCTGCGAGAGCTCTCTGAGAGGGGCACCGACCGAGCAAGTCGACGATTGCCGTGCTTTGCGCATGGTTAACACTCACTGTGGCGCGAGCTTCGCGCGCTGCGCGCTCTGACGTCGTTCTCGTCGGGGGTGAGGGATTTAACAGCACTCCACATGTCATCGCTACGGTCGCTGCTTCAAGCCCGCTCTACGTAGCACCTTACCACGCCGTGTTGCACTCGTAAGCTGCCAGACCAGTACGGTATGACGAAAACGTCAATCCGCTCTCACTTATGTGCAAAGCTCTTCAAAATGAAACGCCTTTAAGCAAACGATCGGTAACGCTTAGCCCTCCAACGCCTGACTTTTGAATCAGATGGGCGTATGCTGCGAACTCGGAACGACGCTTCTCAGAAAACGGGATTGCGGGGATCGCGATGGATGGATAAGACGGCGCCATTATGTATATATATGAACGTGTTTCGCGTTGTCTTCGTTGTTACAAATCGTTCGTTTTATACGTAGAGACTAGCTATCGCCCTGGTCGCGGTGCAGGACGATCGTTATGTGTTTCGATAATGCTCGGGGATCACGAGCGGACCTAATTGAAGTGTAGTGTATCAACAGTTACACTACACTATCATGAGGTCCGCATTCTCTATGGTGTGTCAAGGTGATTCGTTTTCTTTGCGCGTTGCTTCGGCGTCGATTGCCCACGAGATGAGACATGTATCGCTGAACGCTTTCGGCGGCGGTAAGGGCTCGCTACCACCATCTCGTCAGCTAGGAATCTCGTAAATCAGTGCCAGCATGTTTACATGCAGCTTATTTACCTGCGCGATGCTTGGTGCAAACGATGGCAGTTGTATTAAGCCCCGCTCGTCGTGTTCCCAACGGCCACACTGGTCGTCGACGCGATGTTGTCGACTCATACTAGGTGATTGTTTGTCAGTGTGCGCAGACGCGAGCGATGTATGTCAGTCGATGCATTCAGTCTAACCGGTTCGATGGCCGAAGCTGCAGGCATAAACACTTCTGTGATAGCACTCCATGCGTAAGGTGTGCAAGGGCGAAATCAGTGCCGATGAGTCATGCAACATGTGTGTTTTTAATGGGTACGTGCGCCAGATGTTCCACGCCGCGTTGGATACCGGTAGTCCACCATTGCCCATCACTGCAAGCCGTGACAGTCAAGTCGTGCAGTCGCATGGTCCGAGATGCAGGTCATAAATGCACCTACCAACTGCTCGGTCGCGTTCACGCGACAGCTCGTTTAGCACCGACGCGTACAAGACCTTGCGTTACCCGGCATCGGTCAGCGCCGACAGACTCTTATCATTGCCTAGCAACGAGCGCTAGTGCAGGCGTAAATATGCGACGATGAGAAAACCCACGGAACGTGAAGCAAAAAGAGGCCCTTTAGTTGCAGTGATCGTCGGGATCTCAAATCCGTGGGTAGCACAACACGGGCTCAGTGTTACCGTGCATCTCTAAGGTTCAAGTCATTTAGTAGATTAGTTGGTCTACTTGTCGGTTGGTCGACACAGTTGAGGCGGTTCATCGACGAGCATCCGTGAAGAGTCGCGGTCGATTCTATAGACCGTCAGCAGCTCTGTGCTCACAGAGCCCCGACGGAACCCGGTCGATCGACCTGCATCAACGAGTGATTTGATTACGCGAAACGCATCTTCTCCATGATCTTGGTCAGCAATTGCCGCGTGTTGTGTCTGGTTTGGTCAAGTCATGCCAGGCCGATGCAAGGGGGTATCGCTGGCGAGACATGACTCCAGGATCCGAGTAGCCTAGAGTCAGTGTAGTCTCTGTGTGCATGGTTTAGATAGGATAGGACCAAGTGCCATGTACGGATGTTGTCCGGTAGTGACCCGATAACCCCTGTTGTAGCCTCTTGGCGACGGTCTCATCTGGCACAGCCTATCTTTCTATCCACGGCGCAGGCCTCCATAGTCCCACTCCTCCTTTGTTCTCAATCTGCTTTCGTGGCGTAGCGCAATATAACTGTCTGCTTCCTGGGAGATGGCTCATGCCATGCCAGCCTTGATACCCTTCCAGCACATGGGTGACGTCCCACAGTTCCCGACTGGCGAGCTACCTCGTGAAGCTACCCAACAGAGATGTAAGCTCAGCTATTGACTGATCGAGTTGGTTATAAGCACAGCAATGCGCTCAACATGTGTGCTGGAAACGGCTGCGAAAAGTGGTTAAAATGCAAGTAAACACATGACACTACATTAGGCTCTAGGACTTTACACAGCAAAGCTCAGAGCTAAACAGAAGAAAGCTTAGCAGCCATCACCGCCAGCAATGACCAAGCACGACGTCGAAGCAAACATCGAGAGGATGCTGCACGTGATCGAGTAGACAAGCATGCAGAAGCAGAAAATGAGGACCGCGCCACCGATAATAGGGTAGCTGCCGCCCGTGCGCTGGAGCTCGTGCAGCTGAAGCTTCTGCGACGGGAGAAAGTAGGACGTGCAGGCCGCGATGATGAAGCCCGAGTAGTAGATCATGTACGTGTACGCGACTTGGTTGCGCGCGTCGTCGGTGTCCGCGGTGATCGAGTCCTCGTCGACTCGGAAGTTGGAGTAAATCAAGTTGGCAAGCACCGGGCCGACCGCCGCTGGGAGGTTCGAGACCGTCGTGAGGAGGCCGTACACGATGCCTTCGTTGCCAATCTCGGCAAGCTCGACAATGACGAACGTCGTGACGATGAAGAGGACGCCTTGCGGCAGCATCTCGACGATGGGCACACCGAGGTAGAACCACTGGTTGCGGATGACGTCATAGATGGTGCAGTACTGCACGACGATGTCGATCGCGATCGTGGACAGCGTCGTCGAGACGACGACGATGCGCCAGTTCCAGTTGGTGCCCCACTTGCCGATGGCCGTGATGATCGCGGCGAAAATGAGGTTGGAGACAATGCCCATGATCTGGCTGTTGAGGTTCTCGACCTTGGCCCACACAAGCTGCACGTACGGCGCCGCGGTGGACGAGAAGCCGCCGCCAAAGAGGTTGTAGAAGAAGTTGAAGAGCATGATCTGCCACATGGCGCGCTTCTGGACGAGCTGCCAGACCTGCGCGAGGTACTCGGAGAACGGCGCCGCGACCACCTTGTGGTCCTTGATGAAGAAGTACGTGATCGGGAGCATCGCAACGCAGGGCACGCAGAGGATGATGTACATTGTGTTGAGGCCAAAGTCCCACGTGTACGAGCCAGCGAAGCGAGGCGAGTTCATGCAAAAGCCGACAATGGCGCCGACAATGGTCGTGCAGACGGTGCGCGTGGCGTAGACGAGCGACTGCATGCGGCCACGGGTCGCAATCGGCTCGCGCTGGGCGTACTCGACGACCAAGGCGTCGGCCGGCACATCGGCAAAGAGGTACGAGATCGTCGCGAGACCAAAGAGAATGGCCATGACACCGCCCTTGTCCTTGGCGTTGTAGTTGACCGTCGCGTTCTGCGCGTCCGTGCGCTCAAAGGCCGGGGTTTCAGCGACACTCGGGTCGCTGTAGTACGGGAGGTCCTTGTCGATGAACGTGATGACGAGGAGGAAGCAGAGGCAGCACGTCCAGCCGATCATCATCCACGACTTGCGGCGGTAGCCCATGAGGGGCACGCAGTCCGAGATCATGCCGATGAAGGCCTTGAGCGACCAGCCGATGCCGAGAAGCGTCTTGGCCGAGTTGTACTGCGCGCCGGTCATGTGGTAGTAGCCCGTGATGACGGGGTAGAGGAGCGACGGCAGCGTGCCGTAAATGAAGCCGACGGCCACGTACTGCGCGAGGAGACCAATGACTTCGCGGCTCATATAGTCGGGGGCGCCACCCGCGCGGAGGGCACCGCCCTCGAGCTCACCGGGGGTCTTGACGTCGCCGTAGTCTTCGCCGGCGGCCTTGTCTTGGGTCGCCGAGACGTACGAGACGCGTTCTTGGAGCTCAATGGCACCCGGTCGCTTGGCTGCCATGGTTGCTGTTGATGCTGAGAAGGCAAAAGGGAAAGTGAGATTGTGAGTTCACCGTATTGGGGTGGCAGGTGTTTTGTAACCCTCCAAATCTGATATTGAAAGAGGTACCGAGATGTACGGTCGGGCGTTGTCTGTAGCCACGAAACGTTGAAGGTTGGAGCACGTTTCGACTATGCACTGTCCCGTCCACTCACGAGATCGGATCAGAAGTGTCGTGTACCGTCATCTGAGAGTAGTAGAAAACTTTGACTTGACCAATGTATGGGCTGATCAGTGCCAAGCCAAAAAGGGAACATGTCCGTGATGGTATGAAGGCGTATCGACACTTGCTACGCTGCTGCTGCACAGAGAAATTAGCCCAAGAGAATAAAACATGGGTATGGTTGATAGCTTGGGTGTTGTGCAGTAAGGGAAACGCCGTCGAAACCCCGTCCGACTGCAGGCGTCTGAGTCGCACCCGCGATGAAAAAACGTTGAAGTAGCGTTCGCAGATGAGGAGCTTCTTGAAGAGCAGCTCGTTACGTCGCGCTGCTGCAAACGTGCGTTAGAAGAACCATCGCACGGACCCTCCTCGATTGACGTACTATTGCTGTTGACGGTAATAAAGTAGCTAGCTCATTTCAGCCCCAGCAATAACCGGCTGCCCAATGTACTTCCCTTGATTGGACTGAGATCCTCGAAGGCGCCGCTTCTTTTCTTCTTCGCGCGGCCGTCTCTGTGATCCCCGTCTAAGTAGACAGGCGGTCGGAGCGACCGAACCCAAATCGTGGCGGCCATGGAACGCCATCGGCGCCGGCAAGAGCTTGCCGATAGGCTCTTGAAGGGATCTGGGTGCACCAGCTTGCTCGCCCTCCCACGTTGTTTTCTTCGACGTCCTACTGTCGTCGCACGGCGGTAGCTCACGGCGGTATACAAATCGCTCATGAAATTTTTATACGGTGATTGCCATCTGCCGTACTCAGACCATAGCACCTTGTGGGTGCCATCCTCCGCCTGACACGAGAAGGGTTAAAAGCACCCTTTTTTGTACGTTGCCACGGAATTCGCACAATTCAGACAATACGCCGACGGTTCGCGTCGTTGAAAGCACGCTAGAATGTCACCTGTACTTATCTAGGCGATTTTCTACGAACCGGGCGCATCGATTTCGCTGCAAGTAATCTCGCGTCCACACGGACCTCCAAAGGGCAAGATGAGAACTGCAATTTCGCGTGGCTGTGTGCGCGTTGTCGGTAGAAAACAAACGGAGCGAGTGGCCACGCAAGAAGTACAAGTTTGTACTGTGGCCTTTTTATACCGGGCTGCGACTCCCCGTGCATTACAATAACGATAGACGCGATGCTGCTACCCTTGATCATATCTTCGCAGAGAAACTGGTGGCAAAAGTTTGGCAGCCAAAACCCATTGCGTCGCCTCGTTGTGAAGTGTACTAGTAGCGTATTTGTCCGTCCCGGCTCCAACATCTGGAGGGTCGTCTGTCTCGAAAAGCTCGCTCGGAACGAACAAGCAGACGCGCTATCTTGGTTCATGTGGTGCGTGCGTCGTACACATCTAGTAGTACTGTAGCTTGCTGTCAAGGTTACTCGAGCTGCGCAGATGAGCACCCAACTGCACCCAATGCATGGCGCGTGGTCGACCTACAGATTTCAGAGAACGTCGTTGCCCACAAGATTTTTCATGCCGTGAACACCACACATTTGCAGTGCCGAGACTCATTGACTCTGCCACATTGGCTAAAGCGAGTTAAATCGCCCCGGTACTATTGTGACTTTCACTCGGAATGCCGGTCGGATTAAGGAGCTAATTCGATATGGTGTAATTCGTAAATCGAGATCCAGACGGCATAATTCTGCCTGCTGCACTTGAATTATTTTATTTTGCACTTGGGCACCTTGAGAAGCCTCCTCCAGTAATTCGACGAGGTGCGTGAAGAAATATAATTAGCGAGAGACAATCCACAATTACAGCGTTGGTACCTCAATTTACGCCGTAAGCACCTTGGATTGCATCATTTCTACCTGGATTTACTCCGCGGACCTCGTTTTAAAAAATAATTCGAGCACCCACAGCAGCTAATTCCATGTTCGATCTGGAATTAGGCCTACACACATGGAATAAAGGACTCAGAATAGCCAATTCGAGTGAAAGTCACAATATTAGCAAGTGACTCTATTATAACTGCATGCGCTGCAATCAGTGTATAGTTCCAGCGGCCGGATCGTACATCCAGCGGCTTCAGTCTCGTCTAGAAGTTTTAATACGCTACTAGTACATTAGGTTCTAGGACTTGAAGACGTCGGAGTATAGAGCTGAACAAAAGGAGGCTCAGCAGCCGTCGCCACCCGCGATGAGCAAGCACGACGACATGGAGAGGATGCTGCATGTGATCGAGTATGTAGAGCATGCAGAAGCAGAGGACGAGGACGAAGCCGCCGATGAGCGGGAATTGACGGGAATTGACGGCCCGTGCGATGGAGCCTCTGCTTTGGGAGAAAGACCGCCGTGCAGCAGGCGACAAGGAAGCCCATGTAGTAGATGATGTACACGTGTACGCGATCTGGTTGCGCACGTGCTTGGTGTCCGAGAGGAGCGAGCCCTCGTCGACATCAAAATTGCGGTAAATCTGGTTGGCAAGCACCGGGCCAACAGCCGCTGGGAGGTTCGAGATCGTCGTGAGGAAGCTGTACGATGCCTTCGTTGCCGACTTCAGCGAGCTCGACAATGACGAACCTCGTGACGATGAAGAGGCCGCCTTGCGGCAGCATCTCGACGATGGGCACACCGAGGTAGAACCACGAGGTGCGCAGTATTGCCGCTAGACTTGCGAGTCTTGCTGCTGGACGATATGACTCTTGCGATCCGAACGACCGCGCTTGGGTGCTCCGGCGTGCCTGAGTGTTTTCGTCCCCGTCCTACTGTCGTCATAATGCAAATGGTTCCATACAGACCGCCAATCTAAATTTTACGGCGCCAACTCAGATCAAAGCGACGCCACCCTCTTTTGTCAACCGTGAACCCGTTCGCAAGGAATTCGCACATATCAGACAATAGGCAGGCAGCGTGCCCTTCTCGAGCACCCGTATGACCTACACGTACTCATCTATGCGAATTCGCATTACGAAGACGCTGGGTCGGTCGGTAGAACACGTCGATAGATAGGGAGTCTGTCGGATCGAACGGGTTGTATTACCATGGAGGTTAACCGTAGCGCAGCTGCACGCGAACGACGGCGTCCGAGTCGGAGAAGACGCCTCGGTTCACGACCAGCGGCATGGCGTCCGTGAGGCACTTGTCGATGCTGCGGAGCGACACGTCGCGGTCTTCGGTGTCGAGTACGTACTTGGGCGCGTGCGGGAGGAAGTACTCGACGCCGCTGGCGCGAACGACGTCCCACATGTCGAGTCGCTTGTCCTCGAGCTTCGACGGCTGCTCGACCGAGAGCAAGATGGTCCACTTGTGCCACTGCGTGGTCGTGCCCAGCGGGACCTCGAGGCCGCGCGGGACCTTGTGCTGGAAGACCGGCTCGCGGAAGAGAAGGAGCTGGCGGTCGTCGGTCATGAACGACTTGGTTTGCTTCTTGAGTGTGATCCACGACGCCTTCATGTTGGGCTTCATGACCTTGAGCTGGAGCTCGAGCATCGGCTTGTCGCGGATCATGCGCTCACCCATGCGCTCGTGGCACACACGGCGCAGAATCTCCTTCCAAATGAACATGGGCTGCGGCGCCAAGAGCGTCAAGTCGATCCACACTGCGAGCGCCGAGTGCTGCACTGTCTGCAGCACGGGCCCCAGCAGCATGCTTTCAAGCACCTACGCGCCGTCGTCACGAACCGTCGTGTCCAACAAGAAAACTCGTACGCTCGCGCACTCGGTGGCTTCCTGCCCGAGGTTGGAGAGGTTGTTCAAGTAGCCTACCAGACGCCTTTTCATTCAAACCACACACGGACAATTTATCCAGACGTACCCGCGCCGTACATTTCGTGCAGCAGCGGCATGAGCTGGCGCCGGAGCTTCCCGCGCGTGCTCCACTGCGGTGTCGTGTCCTTCATGTACGGCACGCCAAAGACATGGGCAAAGTCAAAGATCGCGTCCTTGTCGATCGCGAGCAGCGGGCGCCAAATGCGCACGCCGTTGACCGTCGACGACGTGCTCATGCCGTTGAGCCCGAGGAGCGACTGGCCCTTCATCATGTTGGAGATGACGTTTTCCTGCACGTCGCCGCGGTGGTGGCCCACGCACATGCCCGGAATGCTGTGGCGCGCCATGATCTCGGCGTACGTGGTGTACCGAATGTCGCGCGAGATGCGCTCGTACTCTTCTCGCTTGGTCGTCGCGCGCTGGCACTCGTCGATGCGCCGCACGTAGCACTCGATCCTGACCAGGGTCCGTGACGCGCCTTATCCTCCATACTAGGCGAAGTACCCGAGCGGCTTGCACCACGCCTCGACGTACGCGGCCTCGGCCGTGCTCTCGGCGCGGTTCTTGTAGTCGATGTGCACCGCAACGACCTACGATCGACTGAGCGACCGGTCGACGTGGGCATTTGTTTGTACCTTGAAGTTGTTGTAGCGCGGTGCGAGCTTGACGAGCAAGTAGGCGATGACCATCGAGTCGACGCCGCCCGAGAGCGAGATGCCAATCGCAGGGCAGGCCGGCGACCCTGCGTCCATCGCGCTGAGAAAACTGTGCATGAGCGGTGTCAGCACGTGCTTGGGCAACAGCTTGTCTTCGTCCGGG